AACTATCGAGTTATGCAACACTGGACCTTTAGTCAGTTTGTTCACGTGTAACTGTCCTACTAATTGAATCCACACCGGCCACTGTATTATAACCTGTACCACAATGAAGCTGTTGTTTTTAGTTTGTATTCAGCTTTCGAGTGTCTTTGTCCATGGAGCATTTAAAGCTGGTGAGATATTAAATATCAAACAGTGTTTTTGAGAAAGAGGGTAATTCTATCTGCAAGTTAATCATGTTAATACATCCAAAAACTTCTGTAAACAAAACCATGTTTTAATTTATTCTATAAACGACGGGAAATTTTCTTAATAATGTGTTTGGAGTTTGCCTATAAAACCACTTATTCATTTATTATAATAAATTATTATTTATTAATAGAAATAATTGTATAAATTCACCGAAATAGTTGGCTGTCTCATTTGCATAACATCTGAAAAAAAGATTTGAAATTATATCTTTATTTTTAAAAAAAATATGACAAAAGATTCATAATCATATCTTTCTTTTAAAAATACTAATCATTAAAAGTACATGTATTTCATAAAGTTAAAAAGAAAGCCCATTGTTCGAAAGACTTATGAATATATCTTTATTTGTCAGAATAGTCATGAAAAAGTCCCCAAATTAAAGAATTTATCTGGTAAGAATTGGAGTATATATATCGACTTTTACAAATACGTGTACAAGTATACAGTGAATGGCTGTGTAGAATATCGTATTTTTGAAGTAGCGCAATTTGCATGCAAAGATCAGCTACTGCTCAATTAAATATCTTCTATGCTATATAGGTAATACTTGCACAAATATGTTACTCACTCAAAAGACGCTAGATCATAGATATGTCATGTTCTAAAATTTGAATTTACCAGGTGGGAGTAAATACAAAATTTAGAACATGACAATGTTCTAAATTTCGTATTTACTCCCACCCGGTAAATTCAAAATTTACATGACAATGTTCTAAATTTTGTATTTACTCCCACCCGGTAAATTCAAAATTTAGAACATGTTAGCTACATGTACGCTTTTATTTTGAGAACTCAATTTTATGTCCACTAAGTATACCATATACATGAACCCTCAATGTAATAGAAAAATATAAATTTGCAGAACTTGAAGAAAAAAAAAAATGCTTCATAAAAATCCTTAAGTGTTGAAACATGTACAAGATTTTTTTTTGTAACCTTTGAAATAACAAAGAGAGTCGATGAGACGAGGGATATTTTTAGATAAAAGGTCTCCTGCAAATAAGAGAAACGTGAAAGTTTTTATCTCAGTATAAACCTTTTGACCTTAGATTTTACATGTACTCACAAAGTTCGGTTCTTCGGTCTTTGGCAGTCAAAAGATATGGCAATTTTATTCCTCTTTTGTATTCATTCCATTTTTGGAATTGTTGCTGCCGTTTACAAAGCAGGTTTGTTAATTTTATTTTTCGAGAAGGTAACAATTTTTAAGTTAAAATTGCATGTACAAATGAAACTTGGCTTAAAAGTGGAAAATTTTTCCACCGCATGGTCTTTGTGTGCTCTACCACGTGAAAGATTGCTGCTCATTGATAGACACAATAACTTTCTGATCACATATTGCATAACAATTCTAAATTTATAGAATAACGTTATTACAAGTTATTTGTTTTAAGTATTTTATCTTAAAAGGTGATATGAATTACATATAATACGACAATTTATTTGCAATTAATCTCTCAAGATTCTCCCAAATTAGAACAATTGCTCTATTATATATTCTTATCAACAATCCCAAAGCAAAATTTTCATCACACACATGCAAACAGAAAAGGCTTGATTAGAGCATATTTTCTTTCAAGGTATTGCTCCTTCCATAAATACCATGTGTTTCCCTCTGAAACGTACAGTACGTACAATATCGAGCTTTAGAGGAAATTTAGTACCCATGAAACAATTGAGTCATAAAACAGCAATTTATTTCCATATATTTACATTTGCAAATGTTTTTCTTTATATAACACTACTGAAAGGAATGCATATCTATAACTGTATAAATATTCAAAGATGTGCGTATGGATAATCGTTTGACGTAATTTCTCAGTGACGTCATAAAGGGTCGACGCGCGTTCAGTGGATTACATACTTGCCGTTGAGTTTGAAAAATAAATTTCACACGCTACACACAGGCAAATATAAAGTATAAGTCACAAATGTAAATATAAGTAATAAGGAATATCACGAGATTAAATTGTCTATTGACCAACCCGTATTTATATCCCGATAGATGTTAAACAATAAAATCTTATTTTTAAATAACAGTCTTCATAATATTAAGGAAGGTACATACTGCAACGAATCCGGTTTTAATTTTACACACCAATATAAAATTCTGAATATCACTTGTCTATTGAAATAAAATCTTTTTAGATGATTGAAAATAATTTAGCAAATATATATTTGTATATTTACATTCGGTGTGTTTTTCTAATAAGCAAACTGTGAAATTGATTTGAATTAATACCATTTTTGTGTATACTCACGCGTAGAAATATACACGGAGAAACGTGCGTTAACGTGACGTCACAATAAGGCTACAGCCACGTTGGCCGGTAAAGTATAACAATATAGGGCAGCGAGAAATTCAAATATTGAGTATATTTTTTGGAGCTACTAAACATGTAAAATGTAAATATAAGGAATGTTTTTAAAGTTTGTGTGAGTTGTTGGTGTGTGCTAACGCTTCATGAAATATATGCCTACGTGCAAGTCTGTGTGATTCACACACCAATAACTCACACAAACCTTAAAAACATTCCTTAAATAATATCGTGTCACTGTGCATACATTTAGCATTATTTTAATATATATACATTATTTATGGAAATTAACACTTTGCTCTGTGTCGTCCCTAGGATATATATGTCATTCAGTACATACGCAGTGTGTGACTACTCTAGAATTCCCCCAGAATAAATGATCTATATCAGAGTTTACTTTTAGAATGTGACCAAGCTCAAAATTTACTCAGAATAATTATATGATCGACTTCCGGAATTAATTTACTTTCAGAATGTGACCTAGTTCCGGCTGACTTTATCTTCCTGTTGGACTCCTCCGGAAGCGAGACTCAAAGAGGATTCAATACACAGCTCAACTTTATCTCAAACTTTACGTCCAATTTTGAGGTGGGGCCAAAGAAAGCGCAGTTCGCCGCTGTGACGTTTTCTACAGGTGTTTACAAGAACTTCTTTTTGAACGAACACCAAAGTCAAGCTGACGTGTTGAACGCCATCAGCAAGATCGCCTACCGAGACGGGGAAACATACACTGACCTCGGACTTAACTACGTCCGGTCGAATGTACTTCAAGGTATGTTAATAATAAGTGATCACGTGAGAACAGCGACATCTGGTGTGAGGAATACTAGTACTAACTACTTACATTTCTGTATAAAGTACACACACAGTGCATGGTTAACTTACTTTTCTAATATAATAATATCATACTGTCCTGGGTTAAATTGTCGGTTTGTAACTTTACCAAATTACAAAGTACTAGTATAACTTGAAATAAATTTTTAAATGCGTGGTTTTTTTTTTAATTTTCAACAGAAAACCATGGTGCAAGACATAACGTGGCTAAATACGTCATAGTCCTGACAGACGGGCGATCCAATGATAACTCCAGGACGGTCAGCGCTGCCACGGCGCTTCACAAAGTCCCGAACGTGACGGTGATAGCTATTGGAATTGGACACGGAATTGACAGGAACGAACTAAATATCATCGCCTCCGACAAAAATCACACCTTCGTTGTTAACACCTTCGAGCTTCTTCACACTCTGGACGTGGAACTAGTGGATAAGACTTGTACCCGTGAGTTACTTCCCTTTTACAAATGTGTAATTTTATGACCTTTCAGATATTGATAGAAATTTTACATTTCGTTTGAAACATCTGCAGTGCAGCCTGTTTGTCCTTAATTTGAGAACCATCTTTTTGGCATTTATAAGAACATCTTTCAATCAAATGAATATAAAAGTTGACGGAATTTTATTAAATTATAATTTCAGAGTCCTAAAAACACTCATCTAGAACAGATCTTCAAAAAATATCTTGGCTTCTCATTTTTTTGTGCAAATTATTCAAATTCTTAGTTGCATTGTGTTGTTGATTTAACTGGCTTTCAGAACATTACTTTAAAATTATTAAAGATTGATTGATTATGTGTTGTATTAGATTTTATTTGACAAAAAATCGCTCATTAGACATCATGGAGTTAAGCAAATAGACATGTATAAAAGCTAACTAAAACATTTTATTTGATGTATTTGTCAGAAAAATTTTCTTTGTCACAGTGTGCGGTGACTATCCGGCAGACATTGCCTTTCTGATAGATTCCTCAGGCAGTGAACAAGGCTCCAACTTTGACAACGAAAGGAACTTTGTGGAAATGGTGGCCAATGAATTTAACTATGGCTACAATGATACATTAATTGCTGTGTCACAGTTTGCAACAAACGCCAGAACCGACATTTACCTCAACCAATACCCCGATAAAGTCGCCCTCATGCAGGCAATATCACGGATACATTGGATGAACGGTGAATCCAACACACACATGGGACTGACTGAGCTTGTTCGTAATGTTTTTCACAACAAAAATGTACATGGCCATACACACAATCACCATGGACACCAGACTATAACCTATGGACCGCGTGCAGCATCTGTCAAAATTGCCATTGTTCTCACTGATGGCCGATCTCTGGAGCCAACTCTGACATTGAACGCAGCTAAACAGCTCCATAGTATGGGAGTCGAGGTCTTTGCTATAGGAATGGGACATTCAGTGGACTATAACGAATTGGTGCAAATAGCCACTGACAGGAGGCATGCCTACCGGTTGGCCAGAACAAGTGATCTTGAGGGCATTCATACCAAAATTGTGGAAGCAATTTGCAAACGTAAGTACATGATTGTACATAATTCAGATTCTTAGAGTTTAGTCTTCTTTTAGTTTTTCTACCATCCATTTTCTGACCAAACACATTCACGATGGTAGGTTAAAGCATAAAAACAATGCTTCTTTTATGATGAATTTTCCAACCTGTTCATTTGGATGAAAAAATAAATTTTGGAAGCATACAAATCTGCTGTATGAAGGCAAATTAAATGTCTTTTGACAAGGGTCCACTAGTAGTAGACTTGAAATGTCCTTCATTTAATATGGACACAAATTAAAAAAGAAGAAACTATAGTAATACATAGTAAAGATACCGCTAAAGAAGAAACTATAGTAATACTTAGTAAAGATACCGCTGTTTGAATGTATAGGAATCTAAAAAAAATAGACTTTTATGTTGTTCCATTGAGCCAAAATTACATAGATTCAAAATGGAAAAATCCAAGCCTTATATTTGACCGAAAATACACATACTATTAGATGGTTAGAAAATTTTTATCTATGGAATACTTATATCTGAATGTAATTTTAGGATTTCAGTTATGTTGTAATTTTATTGTAAAATCAGAGCATATTGTATAAAATCATATCTTATACAAGGAATCCAAAGCAATATCATCCATGTAGTCTAATCACATTAAGACATCTATTATTAACTTTCGAACTAAAATAATCTTATTAATAAGTCTTTCAAAGTTGCTGTGGATTTGGCAAAACTTGAAGAAGATTAGCATTAACGTCTCTACGTGCGTAGTTCTTTATTTTAACGACACATCTAAGAAAATGAGTTAAAATATTATTTTTTTTTGTTTATTGTATAGTTAAGGTGCCTCCTCCCACAACAACACCGTTGCCAACAACAACAACAAGTAAGTGCCCCAATCGCATCATCTCGAGTCTTTCCGTTAGAGGTCGGAAAAACATCTTCGAATGTATTAACATCACCGGATGTTAAAAATTTATGCATGTACATCTCCCTGTTTCTTTGAATAGAGTACTGAAGGGATTAAAAGTTCCTTTTGTTGATGTTTTATGTTATATCTTTACGTTCAATTAAGTTAAATTTAACTCAATTTATTTTTTTTTCAGCTATGCCGACTACGACCGTAAAACAAGGTAACTAACAGGCATCTCAATGAAAATTTAATTATTCATTAAATGCATTTTATTCATAACTCATATTCTGAGAGTATATCATGGGATTTTGCAATTTTATTCATATCTCATATTTTGAGAGTATACTCAGTATCACGGGGTTTGTCTATTAATGATTTGAAACATGCAAATATGTTATATATAAAAGCCTGCTCGTCCTAAGTCTATTAAAAATATCTGTAAGGAATGTGATATTTTAATATATAAAATAAATGTACAGCTTTTTATAAAAGAAAAAGAAATGTTTTCAAGGTTCATAAACCCTCTGTTAACTCATATAAAATGTTGCTTGAACCATAATGATTTTCCAAACGAAATGTATTTTATAAGTAACATACAAACAATTATAGCATAGCTTGCGGGGCAAAATTGGACAGAAAAGACACTTCCACTTGACAAACTTGTAAAAGAATAACAGACATTAACAGACATTAATGCCATTAGGAGTTATATCTCTTATCAGAGTATCAATGAACCTTAATGAACTAGTACATGTATTTACGCAACTCTTCAACAGATTTGTTTAACCTTTAAAGTAGAGGAAACTTCAACATTTGCAGCTTTAAGAAACCAATTGTTATGTACCTTAAGATGTAAATTTATTTCAGCCTGTGGACAAAAGCCTGCCGACATTGTGTTTTTACTGGACGCATCCGAAAGCGAAAAGGCCGAGGGTTTTGCACAGGAATTGCAATTCGTGTATAACTTGAACTCCCAAAAGCAAAATTCCACATAGGCCCAATGTATTAATCCATTTGGAATATTATATTCATTGAATAATGACATTGTAAAGTCATATAAACAAGGCGGGTTTAAGTCCTTACTCAGCTCCAGGGAATCTCATCAAAAAATTGTATGAGGTAGAAGAAGCAGACATTGAAAAAACAATGACGTTATCGGACGTCATGAAAATAAAGCACGACAGCGCCGGGTGATCATATATTGTCGTTTTCATTTCATAATAATTTGGAAAATAATGAACGTATCAGGCTAAAATTTTCAACATTTCTTTATTTTTGGTTGTTTTATGTTCCATATAAATTTTGAAAGCACAGACTACATAGTACTAATTTTATAGCCTCAGTCCACGAACTTTTTGATAACCCCTCGTATTTACGCAACTCTTAAACAGATTTGTTTAACCTTTAAAGTAGAGGAAACTTCAACATTTGCAGCTGTAAGAAATTAATTCTTGTGTATCTTAAGATGAAATTTTTTAAATTCTTATGTATCTTAAGATGTATTTTTTTTTTCAGCATGTGGACAAAAGCCTGCCGACATTGTGTTTTTACTGGACGCATCCGAAAGCGAAAAGGCCGAGGGTTTTGCCCAGGAATTGCAATTCGTGTATAACTTCGCCCGAAAATTCCACATAGGCTCTGATAATGTCCAGTTCGGCGCCGTAACATTCTCCAGCGAGATTCGAAATGATTTTTATTTGAACACTTATCGCAATCGACACGACCTCCTTAATGCTATCCAGAAAATTGCTTACATGCAGGTAACTTGAACTTTCCAAATTAAAATCTGTGTTTACAGTGCTGTAAACGCACAAAGCAATCTTGTGGGTTATTTACACTAGTACACTACGCCTTCAAGGATTACTGTAATCTTTGCCGAAATAAGACACACTCCTCCAATATATTAAAGCTGAACGCGAGTCTTAAATAATTTGTCCGCCATATCCTTTTATTCAGTTGTTTTTTCTGATGTCCCCTATATATAAGCCGTTCATGTAGTCACTGCTCAGTGTAATTAATTGATACATGTACCTGTGTAGACAAACGCATGCTAGCTATTGTGTTACACAATAGAGGCAAAATTCAGAATGGAATCTTTCACTGTAAGACAGATCAATACAAAAGAAACTAATAAAATTGTAAGCATAAGTATACAAACACAAATTTGACTACGGAATATCAAGTCTATCTGACAATACCTTGGTATTACGGTGGATGAGACTGGTCAACAGGGGATGCTCTCTCCCTCCTGGTCACCTGATCCCACCTCTAGGATTCCGTTGGTGTTTTATGCTTTGTTCAAAGCTTTGAATTCTTTGTACGCTTTTTAGCTCACCTGAGCCAAAGGCTCAAGTGGGCTTTTCTGATTAAAATTTGTCCGTTGTCTGTCGTCGTTGTCGTCTTCCCTTTTGTTGTAAACTTTTCACTTTTTCATCTTTTTTATATTTCAAATCTACCAAACTTGCTACAAAGTATCCTTGGGTAAAGGGGATTAATTTTATCAAATGAAGGGCCACATTATAAGGGGAATAATTATTTTAGAGAAAAATTAATGTCATTTTTAAAATACTGACCAATGGGCCAGGAAAGATGAAACTCTTGTGGAATCACCCTCAGGTAGTGTAAAAGTTTGTTCAAATCATGACAAACTTTAATGAAAATGTCAAAGTTTTACATAGGAATATATAGGAAAAATCTTCTTCTCAAGAACCATTTAGACAGAAAAGATTAAACTCATGTGAAATCATCCTTAGGTAATGTAGATTCAAATTTGTTCAAATCATGACCCCAGGGGCTAGGATGGGGCCATAATGGTCGTTAAAAGTTTTACATAGGAACATATAGGAAAAGTCTTTAAAAATCTTCTTCTCAAGAACAACTGGGCCAGGAAAGATGAAACTAATGTGGAATCATCCTCAGGTAGTGTAGATTCAAGTTTGTTCAAATCATGACCCCCGGGGCTAGGGTGGGGCCAAAATGGCCGACCAAAGTTTTATAAACGAATTAAATAGGGAAACCTTTTAAAATCTTTTTTCAAGTACTTCAAAGCCATGATTAGTGATATTTATATGGAATCATCCTCAGGTAGTGTAATTTTTTTTCATCATGAATTCTGGGGGGTAAAATCAAGCCCCCCACCTCAGTAAACTTTCAGTTCTGATCTGATATGTGCTTTTTCCTTGCCAATGTTCTCAGGTGAGCGCTGTGGCCCCTGGGCCTCTTGTTAAAGTTGTCTTTTGGTCGTTCTCATAACCCTTTTATTTGATTCTTCATTCTTTTTTTTATATTTAAAATCTAATACATGTTAATTAGCTTTTATGCTAGAAGGCCCGATATATAAAGGAATACAATTTTAAAGGTTGAATGCTTTAACTGACAATTCCAGACAGTTTTTCTATACTAATTTAAAATGAATTGCATGTCACGCAACAAACTTTAATGAAAATGTATGTCTTACAGGGTGGAACCAATACTTCGTTTGGAATCCAGTTCGTGCGTGAGAATAGCTTCAAACCACAAAATGGCGCCCGTGCAAACGCAACAAAGATCGTCATAGTTATCACAGACGGACAGTCGGCGGATCCAGCGGCAACAAAACACGAGGCGCAGCTGCTTCATCGACAGGGCGTCCAGGTGTATGCTGTGGGAGTCGGTTCAGAGGTTTGTTTGTTTGTATTGTGTATAGCGTCCCTCTCAAGAACTTCATATGGAGATACCACCAATTGACCATGGAAAGCTGCAATTTTTTTCGTATATGAATTCTGTAAAATCACTATTTTTGTGGGAATTTTATTTTCGTTGTTTTGGAGGTATGGAGGCATGGAGGGACCCTCGAATTCATGATTCTGTATCTTGAAATATAAAATATTATATGCATAATTACTCCAACCACGAAATCACATCCCCAAAACCAATACGTGTATCAGTTTCTCAAACCTTGAAAATTTGACTCCTCGAAAATATGTCATTTTACAGTACATATGTAAAGGTCTAGGCTTGTGTGTTTTTCTTCCATCCTGTTATATTGAATGATGCACAGTGCACAAGAAGTGACTAGATGAGAAGTCTACCGAATTTCTAAGCCAGTGGAGGCATTTTTGAAAAAAAAAAAATAGAAAGAGTTATCAGGGCTAGAATGATTCTCATCCTCCAAAATCTGCCTAGATGCAAGAGACCTTTTTAATCGTGTCTGCCAATCACCTTTGTTTTCATAAAATATTCCTGTATCATGAAAAAATGAAGATAACGGACAACAATCAAGCTCAAACACCACGAACCAATACAAATTATTGAACAGAGCAAACACGGACCTAAACGACAACAGAGGTGGGATCAGATAACATCGTGAGTGCATTGTATTGAATATTGTAAAATTATATATAAAAATAACAATTCTAATCAAAATCTGGCAGCCAACTCACCCCGGGTAGCAGGTACCTGCTTTAAGAATCATGCATCGTTACAGTTTTTTTTATGCCGGTGATGTTACAATTTAATTGGTCCATTTGTTTTTGTTTTTTTTTTGAATTACAGGTTGATAATGCGGAGTTGAAGGCGATCTCCTCTAACGGCACTCCAATTCTTGTTGGTGACTTTTCATTGCTTCACGATATTCAGACATCACTAGAGACAGCGGCCTGCCACGGAGGGTCCTAGTTATCTTAGACATACCATCTGTCCTGTTTATATCCCCGTGTTATTCTTTGTTACGTTCTATTTCATAAAGTCATATATATTCATAACAAGAATTTTTTTAATCTTAAATATTATTTACAGACATCATTTTTATAAAAGGAAACTAGTTACCCATATTTGCAGGGGGGATATATATGCATTCATTGTTTCATTATATGTGATCAGCAGGGGATGCTAACTCCTCCATGGCACCAGAGCCACTTCTGATTTTTCATAAAAGTAAACAATTTACCCAAATTTTCAGGAGAAAATAAATATAATTGAGTAATTCATATGTGATCGGCAGGTGATTCTAACTCCTTCATGACACCTGATTCCACCTCTGATGTTTTGGAGGTCCGTGTTTGCTGTGCTCCTATTTTGTTATGTTACTGAACTTTTGATCTTAAATATTTTTCTTTATCTCAATATATTTCATGAACAAAACCCCACATCATTTATTAGAAAGAAACTTAAATAACTCAATAATGATTAATTACAATAATTTACAGCATAACACAAAAATTTATTTTTTCCGTATAATTTAATAGCTATCAATAATAAATGGTTAAGAAAAAAAACAAACAACGGTAAAAAGAATACATAAACATTGCTTGTAACTTTTTTCAAGCAATTAAGATTGCCTAAGAACAATGTGTTTATTTTTGAGAAGTTTTATATAATTTTAACACTTCCAAAATCGGAAAGATTTGAGAATTACATTATGTACACTACAAGAGTTTAATTCAACGGGTCCTTCTTCATTTTGTCGCTAATAACACGTATTGATTCTTTTTTAATGCTACAAAGACATTTCCGAAACACATCCAGGCTTATCTTGAAATCTTCCTGCAAAAGAAAATAGATTTTTAAAAAAATGTCCCATATGGTATTTGTGGACATCTTAAAATTTGAAAAATATGAACTATGAAAATATGTTTTAATATTTTACTTTCTTCAGAGAAGGACTTGAAATCTCATTTACTAAATTGTACTCTGAATGCTTAGTGTCAATTTTGACTCAATTTCTACTGAAGGCGTTAAAAATTAAAGATAAAAGACGTGAAAAAACTGTAATTAAAATAAATATAACTTTATTGTCCAATTGGAAGTGACAATTAAGAACAGCAGTTTTGGGGGTCTGCCAAATGAATATTGATTCATAGTTTTAATTTCATTTTCATCGGGGCATATAATAAAGTTCACCAATATTGAATTTTGCTGACAAAAGTATACGGTTATAATCCAAACGCTGACAATTAGGTACACGTAGATGTTTGCAATCTGAAGTTCTCCTTACAAATGCGCATGCTCACCTTTGTTGATATGAATTCCGGTCTTCTGTTTTGGAGCTGATGTATTCTGGCGGGAACATCCACTTCGTCATCCATAAAAACCTGTTCTAAACAGTTATGTACGGTACACAACACGTCACATCCGCTGGCGCCATCCCTGTTCAAGAATTACAGATATAGTATTGAGTATATACATCTATACATTTCATGTAAACCACTTTTACTTAGCAAGTACTTTTCACGTAATTACGAGAGACTGTTTGCTTGGTTATATGTAATCTAAAATATATGGAAGCAAATCAAATTAAACGATAAGCAAAGCTTTATATCTGGTAAGGTTAGCTGATGAAAAAAAAAACAACATTGAACATTACAAAAAAAAACTTACCCACTAAGTAAAACTATTGGTTTCGTTGGATCGGTTTCTACAATTATTTTCATAACTTTCAGCATATCAGTGTAGGCCCCGTTATTTGGGTATTTGATTGGCCATGATGACATTTCGCAAATAGAGAGAGAATAGTCGATGCTCTTCTCCTTTTATCATGCAAAGAAGAGAAAAATAAGAAACAAACATGTTTATTTCAATTAAAATAATAATTTACGTCTATTGCCGGTATGTTTTATACGAACATGTTAATTTAAATTTTGAAAAAAAATTTAATTTACATCTTTTGCCGGTATGTTTTATCAATTCACATAATGTTGCATAAACAAATTTGAAACTACATGTATAATTAGTACGATATGTACTCATGCGAAAAATAAATGATAATCGTATGTATAATAAAACTTTTTTTTACCTTGTTTTGAATTAGAAGTTCAGTTTGACAAAGCGTTTCAGAAATAGACGTTTTTCTTAAATCTCTCTGCCTGTCTGCACCTGTAGAGATTCCTTCTAAGAGTCTCTGAGTAAGCTAAGAGATATATACTAGTAATTGAAAATGTATTTTAAAATCCCCAAAAAATCTTTAAAAAGCTTATCTCTTAAAAGCATTGAAAAATTAAAATTCAACACAAAAATCGAAAATATATATAATATACATGTGTATATATATATATTAAATGATAACATAAATGAAGATCTTAAATTAAATTAAGGCAGATGCTGTACATAGATATGTTTTCATAATACTTAATATTGCCTACTTCCGTTGTCTGCTCACGTGACCCTATCAATACAATGACACGGCTAGACATCTTTGAAATCACTTCCACAGTATTGTCCATACTGAATGTCAGGGGTAGCTGTGAAATAATGAATCTGTCTCGAGTAAGATAGGACTGCAATAAAAAAAATAAAATTAAATAAAACACATTTTTTACAGGTTACAATCCAATATAATATGGAAGTAAATGGATTTTTTTTTACGTGTATATGTATTCCCTTTCAAAGATATCGTACTGTTTACTTCGAAATGTGAGCCCCTGTTTTAATTTAGCCACTTTCACCCTCGACACAAGAGGGTGAATGTAAATCGAGGCAAAATTAGAGAAGGCAGTGTTAATTCTAGAGCTAGAGCTGTGATCTGGCGATTTTTAGAGGGGAACGATGGTGATTAATAGGAAAAGTTGTTAGCAATTGCAAAAAGATGTAAATATTATGATGTGAATAGTTATTTTGTTTAATTTTATTATGCTTTCATCTGTTGACAGAATGAATCCCAAAGTTTGTTAGAAGAACGTTTTAAAATTTTTTTGTTATCCTTTTTGTAAAAAAAACTGAATTGCATTCAATGAACATTAAACCGTTCATATAAATTATTAAAAATTCATCAGACCTATATAAATGCTTATTGTAAATGCTGGAAAATCTATTCAGTAGCTAGATTAGGAGAATCTGAGACAGGTACACATATTTATTATTTGTTATATTAACAATGATAAATGGTTTGTTAAGGCTATCCATGCGGAAAGAAGCTGTTTAATTTTATGCAATATCTTACCGGAACCGTAATACAATTCGTGAACAAAAGTTTGTCACTTTCCATTTCATCTTCAAAAGAGAAATAAAATCTGTCCACTAAAATTTAGAAAAAAAGATTATAATTATTGTTTTCTATTGTACGTTAACAAATTTTCGTGGAGGCAAATTTCTGTGGTTTGAGGAATTTGTGATTGGGTTTAAAATTTGAAATTTTACATTTGATTTCACAACATTCGTCGACCTTATGAGCATACACCAGTTCAGTAGAATTTATTTGTAAAAAATTACTTACATGGCAGAACATTTATATTTGAAACAAAGTCCATATTTCGAAAGGCTTTTGAATAGTCATTCAACATATAGGTCGGTCTATTCGTTTCAAGTGCCTGAAATTAAAAATTTAAAGATAAAAACCATGACAAACAATTAATTGTCTGAAATTTCCAAATGATTAGAAAGAACTATCGTTGTTAAAAAATAATAATGTATTTAATCCAATTGTATCCTTCAAAAGGATACTAGACAAGTACTTTTCGCTAAGAAAGAAAAAACAAAGACAATTCAGATTTAAAATGATAAAAATATATACAGAAAACATATGAGATACTGCATCATTTTCCTCGTTTTCAAGCATATAATACTTCCGTGGGAGAGGGTTGTAAGTGCTAACGAAAGCTTCCGCCAAGAGATGATGAAGTACAACGTATTGTGTCTAAAAGGCAACAAGAAAATTATATTTTTTTATGACTTGCAATGAAATGTATCTAAACAAGAGGCCCACGGGCCTTATAGGTCACCTGAGTATCACGAAACAACTTTCATACTTAATAAAATACCCAGGAGCAGAGAAAGAGATTTTCAAAGAAATAATGCTTTTTCACTATATAATCTATATATTTTTAAAAAAATCAATGCTGATTACAATCATGCAAACAGTTTGACTGCTTGATGTCCAGGAGTAAAGGAGAAGATTTTTAAAGATTGCATTAATTTTATTGGTTTTGGCCCCACCCCTCAGGCCCCAGGGGGGCAGGGACAATGAAATTAACAAATTTGACAGAGGCAGCATTATTCAACATAACTATGTATTTGGTTTGTTTATTAAATACCCAGAAGTAGAGAAGAAGATTTTCAAAGAAATAATGTATTTTAACTGTATAATCTATATAGCCCCACCCTAGCAGCTAAGAACCCCTGACCCCAAGGGCCATGAAATTCACAATTTTGGAAGAGACTGCCTTATTCAACAAAACTATATACTTGGTTTGTTTATCTAATGCCCAGAAGCACAGAAGAAGATTTTCAAAGAAATAATGCATTTTCACTATATAATCTATATAGCCCCGCCCTAGTACTAGAACCCCTGACTCCGGGGCCATGAATTTCACAATTTTGGTAGAGGACTCAATGCTGATTACAATCATGCAAACAGTTTGACTACTTGATGTTCAGGAGTAAAAAAGAAGATTTTTAAAGATTGCATTAAATCTACTGGTTTTGGCCCCACCCCTCAGGCTCCAGGGGGGCAAGGGCCATGAAATTCATAAATTTGGAAGAGGCAGCATTATTCAACATAACTATGTATTTGTTTTGTTTATTAAAATACCCAGAAGAAGAAAAGAGGATTTTCAAAGAAATAATGTATTTACACTATACAATCTATATAGCCCCACCCTAACACCTAAGAACCCCTGACCCCAGGGCCATGAATTCACAATTTTGGAAGAGGCTGTCTTATTCTACAAAACTATGTAATTGGTTTGTTTATCTTATGAACAGGAGCAGAGAAGAAGATTTTCAAAGAAATAATGCTTTTTCACTATATAATCTATATAGCCCCGCCCTAGTACTAGAACCTCTGACCCCAGGGCCATGAATTTCACAATTTTGATAGAGGACTCAATGCTGATTACAATTATGCAAACAGTTTGACTGCTTGATATCCAGGAGTAAAGAAAAATTTTTAGATTGCATTAATTTTATTTTTCACCCTAATATGACCATGAAATTCACAATGTTTGTTCCCCTTTACCAATAGATGCTTTATGCCAAATTTGGTTGAAAATAATTGCAGAGAAGAAGTGAAAATGTTCAAATGTTAACACACAAGTATTGTAAAATCACACGAAAACGGATAGCAATAGGTCACCTGAGTTTACTCTAAAAATCTATGAAATTTGGAAAATAATTTAAGTTAATTCTTAAGCAAGTACTGTAAAATCACATTTTCCTGGGGTCAATTATTTCATGGATTGATGAAAAAATGTGGGTTTGTGGGGATTTTATTTCGAGATTTGTTGAAAGGTTATATAGGTGAAAAAATACATTCATAGTGATCATATATTCGTGGGTTTCTTCATGCCTCGAAAACCACGAAAGTTAGTGATTTCACAGTACAAGGCTTTTACCATCAGTGCTATGATCTCTAGGTACGAATAGAATAGTATGAAATAGCTGAATTGGGTACATTTTCAATTATGCATGTATAATTAGATAAAGATTATATCCCAAGTACACTCACAAAGGACTGTATCATATTTTGTCTGCATCTTCTCATTCTCTGTACAAATTGCAGGACATTTATTTTTTTGTGACTGAGACCACGGTTATAAAGGGCATCCAGGGCTATGTAAACACCTGTCCTTCCCAATCCATCCCTGTAAATATAAAGTAATGACATATTAGGACCTCTGAAACATTCTAGGTGAGATCAGGTGCCATGGAGAAATGAACATCCCCTGCCGACCTGTCACACCCACTATGTACCCCTTGTCGAGAATGTCATACTGCGTTTATATATTTTATTTTTTTAACTTTGTACAGATATATAATAATAAATGTACAAACAGTTAGTGAAATTTCTTATTGTCCCCAACTTCATTACTGCTTTAATTCTAATATTATATAAAATTACTAAATTGAGCGCCATCTATTTCTCTACACCAATATAAATAATCTTGAAATACACGTGTACTTTTATAAATTTTTTCTTAGATCTGTCTTTATTGTTTCTTACTAAAATCATATCGGCAAATGCACATGTAACTTTACCTGCACTGCACCAGCACTGGGCCATTGATATTGGAAGATGGGACTGGAAAATGAAAGACCCGGAAATAAAAGTTAATGAAATCCACGGGTATTATACTATCATCTTCTGGCCATGAATTGTAGTGGAAAAGGATTATCTCCCTTTTCATGTGTTCCTGTAATTAATCTCAAAGTTAAACTGGAAGTACATTGGACTAAAATGATTAATACATGTATATCTCTCTCTGTCTCTGTCTGTCTGTCTATCTATTTGTCGTAAATTGAATGATAGAGTTTTTTTCTACAACTTTCAAGAATTGTGTTACCTTTTGAAGCGCCAGGAAGTATAAGGAATAAAAAGCATAGTCACACTTCTCTGTTGTTGCGACAGTATAATTCTGAAATGTCCCTGTCTCACCTACTTCTGGCCAGTATGGTGTCCAGTCACCCTAAATTATATTTTAAAAAAAAGTTCTGAAGTTTAAGCTATACAGTTTTTTCTCTCAAAATTAATTTTATACAATGTCAAGTAAACTGTTTAAAACATTTACTGAAAGAAAAACAAGCAGAATGTTTGCAAATTAGATAAGAAATCGAAACATATTTATCATTCATTTTAAATTGATAAATTTGTCAAATAAAAGGGGAATAAAATGCATAAAGGATAAATAACACAATTTTTTGTTCAGAAATCAACAATATTTCTCATAGATTTACATTTAAATTGGTAACCTGAAAAATATTCAAGTATAGTGGGATGATTTTATAAAATTTTGTCATAAAGTTTAACATTTCTGCAAAATTTTGAATGGAATTATATAGAAAGCAAAATCGCACACAAAGGAAAACCTATTCTTTATTTCTGTATATTTTATGGATTCATTATTTGTGTCATTTCAAATCAAAATCAGTCAAAAAAATATATAAATCCATGTATCAAATTTTTGTTTGTGTTAAGTACCCAGCTTATTATTGAAAAAGAAAATTTTAAACATTTGATTTTACCTTGCAGCCTTGACCTTTGGAGAATGTTACAATTTTTGAGACGTTTTTTGTCCAGATCATTTCCCAGGCTGCTGTTGAGTGACTCACTTTAAAGGTAATGTATTAGTTTAAACCCAAACAAAAATGTTGCTATAATACTCATAAACATGTCATATCGGAAAATAAAGAATTAAAAATAACTCTTTCATTTTATATGTAATTTTTGAATTTTTTAAATTCTAAATAATTCTTCTACATATTGCAATTCACCTATAATATAAAACAATAAAAATATAAACTATTATAGATAACTTACCTTCCGCGGCAATGTACGCCATTTTGCCTTCAATATTCTACAATGCAAGAGAAAATGGTTAATTTTATATGGTAAAGCTAACCCTGTAATCCTTTTAAAAAAACTAATTGAAAAAAAGCCAGGCTACTTCCCACAAACCTTCACAAAGTGTGCATTCAGGATTTCATTATTCGATGTATCACTTGGCAACAGCACTTTGTAATTATCCCCTGAAACTTATTTTTTAAAAAAAAAGTAGAATTAGCAATCTTCTAAAACTAGTGAAACTATTAAAGAATTTGTAACTTAAAATTCTCATCTTTCTTTCTAAAGTATGTACATGTAATATGAATTATTTAAGAAAAACAAAATGCAGTGAAAATTTCAACTATTTCAGTCAGAATATATGAGCTCTCCGACCTACCTGACATCATAGAGTTTCTGGAAAATCTCGAAAATCTAGAAAATCTAGAAAATCTTTTATTCTGGTCTTTGTCTGCCATGGTTTGTTTATCATATTGTTTTCCCTCCTTAATATGCTAGAAATAACACAAACAATTTAAAATTGATCGATTTTTTAATGTTCCATTCTTTTTCTTCGTACGAGGGCTGTTCAATAAAAATTCACGTATATATGTGAAATTCACAGCAACTAAGGTCTCTTTTATAGACACATGAGCAGGTAGATTTCAAAGAACAAAAATTATATAATGGGCATAAAAATGGGTACCGTCCTTGGTGACAGGACTTACAACAATCAATGTACTGTTTGCCAAAATTCAACAAATTATCATTGAATGATATCAATGTTTGATTGACTTTAAGACATATAGCAAAATTGACAGGCATCGTTTTGAAGTAGTTTACACTGACTTTAAAAAACATGTGAGATAAAAAAAAGCTTGATACTCAATGGTTACCCTATTTTTTTGAAAAATGAGTGAAAACGACAGCTTGTAGAAAAAAAATATTTAAAAAAAATATTTTAGCTATATACGTTTGTCTGAAGTTCAAACGAATAATGAAACTTCAATCCATTGCTTTAAACCCTCAAAACATTTGACAAAAAACGGTCAAGGTCTGAAAAGAGCAGAGAGTTCAGAAAGCACCAAAAATTTATATGCCATTTTACTAAATATTAGTGACCTTGCTGTTCAAATTTTTATTCGGGGATGCAGTTTAATTTCTGGAGAGGTCTAAAAAGCTATTTTTTGAAAAAAAAAATCGGAAGGGTTATAAGAGGATAGACTTGAATCAGTAATCCACTACATTAAATTTCTTCATCACAGCGTCCAAATACACACGCCATAAAGAATAAGGGAGCTTTGGGGATAAAAAGATAAGTTAATGTTAAATTTTAAAAGTTAATGTTTCGTCACACCAACAATATCGCCAGATCTTTCACCCTTTGACATTCGAAAAATGAAAAAAAAACCTTTCAGAAAGAAGAAACAAATCCAGGAAACCAGAGGATCTGCAATATATAAGTTACGGAAGGGCCATACTCAAAATTGCCTTTTAAATACAATCAGAAATTGGATAAAAATGTTACGGACATGTGATATAATTAAATGAGAATATTTAAGTGAAATCAGGAAGACTTAATCATTGAAAAGAGTTTTTTGTTTCATTCCGAGCACCGAGGACATTATTTTTGAACAGACCTCGTATAGAGATACCAGTATTTGAAACATAATTCGAAATTCTAGCACAATTGTTTCTTATCTTTATATACACGTACGTTCATATTAAAATGGTATATCCATTAAAACAGGCAATTTTGATTTTTAAAGAAACATAATCTTTTTTTTTTGGTTGATAGTAAAACTTCAAGTATACTATTACATATTTTCACCTTGCATTTCGATGTACAACATGGTAAGTGTTTTTTCACAGTTAATACAATGGTTTTGTAAAAGTAAGATTTTAAGAAATAATTTTTTTCATTACGAATTAAATTAAAAAATTTCTGTAAAATTTATATTACATTTTCTAAGCGATTTGATATCATTTTACCCATATATAAGAAAAAAAAATCCACTGCATGAATAAGAAAATATCGGTATAGATTGCCATTTATTGTTGAAAGGTACAAAAAGAAAAATACATTCTTCATATAACAAGCCATTACCAAGTACTCAGCTCGAAAAATTGAACAGTCATCCTCTGCCTTTTCTGCAATGAATCTTTGGAAACGTTTTACTGGAATCTCCGCTTTATGAAACGCCTTTGAATCTGACAAATCTAACGTGTTAAATGTGTCGTCTGACATTTCCATTCCAAATGTATCACACTGACTGCTCCCTGTAACACAAAAGGGGAAATAAGAAGTGAAAATCGATGGCATTCTTTTTTATTTAAACATAAAAATAAAAAAAACGAAAGGTTTCCATTTGTTTTCTAACGGATAAATCTGAATGAGAAGTGACAACATTTTTTTTCTGATAGCTGCCAAGTTGGAGATAGTACTGAAAAAATAAATTACATGTATTATTCTGTGTGATATAACACACATTTGGAAATTTTATATTGCATATCAATGTACAGATACGTTTAAGAAACGAAAAATTCTGCTATAGTATTTCTTTTTTACAAAATGAAAATATTTATATGCAATTTTACAGACTCCAATAGCGATTCTCATGATTACTACAGTGGTAATCTTTTTCAAGACAAACATAGTATATGTTAGTGAAATATAACGTAAAAACTGTTTAATATACATGTACTTCATTTCATTATCTCACAAAAAAAGTTTGGGGTTTTTTGCCCATCAAAAAAGTAGTACAGTGAAACGTGTTTTAAACGGATATTTTGAAATCCGAAATCTTGTCTATTACGAAGTTAACTTTAAAATATTTTATTATCTGGAGTATCCGGCCAATTTCTTAGGAAACAGCGATGGCCATATTAAACTGTAAACTGTATCAAACTGTTTACTGTACACCCAGTTATAGTGAAAGGGCTAATTTTGAGAAATTATCGATCTTACTCTTACGTTTTCGTATCTTTTGTCCTGTACACCATCTGCCTAATCCGTAAGCCATTATTATGGTAAGAATTACGAAGAATGCAGATACACCACCTCCGAAGATTGGTAGGAAACCTTTAAACAATTCTTTGCTCTTTTCCGTGGAAATATCTAGTGAAAGTGATGTTCAAAATGACGATAACTTTAATTTTAATGTGGATAAATACAGTCAATTTAAATTGGACATTTGTAAAATTTTTTGTTTTCCAAGAAAAATGGAAGTATCTCCGTCCGGTTTTGAAAGTGAAGTGACATCAACACAAGAAAGCAATGAGCTAAGTCTACAGTGACTTTATAATTTCAATTTTGCATCAAAACCTTCAAAATAAGCTAATTTTAACGTGGAAAATTAATTTTTATAATTACAAGCAGTTCAAACTTCCGGTTTTGGGCATTTAAAAGACATTTTGAACAACTTTGCTTCTTAGACGTATTACAAATTCTCAATACTCTTTGAGATATAAAAGAAAAACTTTCGGCCCCTCTAGGCCCTTAAATTTAGGGGCCAGCCCTTTTTTGGAGATAACACACATTACACTTCTTTTTACATGTTTTAACAAAATATTTCCAGGTAAAAAAGATTTAAGGTGTTAGAAATTTTGAAATTTTGATTTTTGTAAAAATAAAATATATCAAATACCTGCACGCAAATCTATACACTTAGGTCTATCATACCTGAAACATGAAGCCATTTGTAACTTACTGACCCTTCAAAAATCGTGTACATCAAAAAAAATTTGGTGCTGAAAGTTTCATTAAAATTTAGCCGCGAGAAATCAAAAATAAGAAAAAAAAAAGATATGTGAAAAAGTTGTTGGCATAATCATGAATTAGCGCTACACGTGTAATATAGAAGAAAAAAAGTGAAAAAGAAACCGAAGTATATTATTATACCTTAACCGTTGGTTATAAAAAGAAAATATATCGTGCATGCAAACTGAAGATAACGTACTGTACGTGTACATAATTTGGTGTATTTAAAATTTTGCGTTGGAGTTGTTGGAGTAATCATGAATTTGCGCTATACCGTGTTCGTGCCGTATACTCTATCTATAAAAGAATTTTTAGTGGTATTTATGAATAAGCGCATCCTCATCTGCACCAAAGACGCTAAAATATGAACCGCGCTATTTAAAGTACACATATAGTATCTGTGGTCGTCACGCATACTATACCATTTTTGCTGTCATTTGATTTCAATGTGCAGACTCCTTCGTAACACCAGTCGCTACAATTGTACCAACAGTCAGGTCCAAATGTACAAGGTTCGCATTCTCAAGAAAATAATACAAAATACATTTAAATCATGTGTTATAACTGATTATAAGGAAAGCAATTCTTTTTAGATTAAACTCGAATTAAATATAAGATTATTTACAAAGGGAATTGTTAGAATTGATACTCAATTATTGCAAGGTACTCTCTGCATGATTGACAGGTCAACAGGAGATGCTTTCTCATCGAATGTACCTGATGTAACTTCTGATAATTATAGAATTCGGTTTTTTTCTCTGCTCCCGAATTCATTTTTCAATGCACATCTGAGTTTTATAACAATACGTTATTAATGCATAAATGTTTTAAATGTTTAATCTTTTTAGACCATTTAAGCAACAGGTTTTAAATTTGTTTCCAATTTTTCTTTTTTATGATATCCATCATTATTATCACTTTAATTTGGAATGCTTCTGTGCTAACGAATACTACAGTACATAAGAATCAAAAATATTTTCTGACCGCATATGAAACTAAGTGCAAAATTCATTGAGAGATGAAAAAGGAATAAGTTTTGCAAAGTTTTAATATAAACTGCCTAAAGTAAGCTATAAATTTTGACGTCGATTAGCCTTAAATCATAATGATATCGATGTAAGAGATCTTGATAAGTAATTTTTTCCTGCTGAGTATACATCTGGACTTTTTACTCTTCTTGAATCTTAAATAAGTCAAAAAAAAAATTACATGAAAAACCATTAATACTCTTGGGTATTTGCAAGGTTTTTACTGCATCACATATGAAAAATATTAAAACAAAATGGATCATGTAGCTAAATCCGTCTATACAGTACCTGGCCATAAGTGAGTCATAATTTTATTTTTACACTATATATTTCATTGAAAAACCTATCATAAAAATGTCAATTTTAGCTAAATCATGCAGAATTATTCAAATTTTCTTATCTTAAATGATAAACAAAATGATACTTAAACTATAGATCATAAAATATTGGACAAAATTAATAATACCTTAAAATTTTTGTTTTCAGTGCACAAAGATCATGATGTATGCAATGAAAAACAAAACTGGCATTTTAGAAAAAATGTGTTTCCTAATGAAATATATAGTGGAAAAATAAAATTATGACTCACTTATGGCCAAGTACTGTAGATCATTGGATTAATAATACCTTAGTGCACAAAGATCATGATGTATGCAATGAAAAACAAAACTGGTATTTCTGTACATGAAGGATATCATGAATATACAATCTCATAAGCAAAGGATAAGTAAAGCAAATCTTATTGACCTATTAAGAGCAGTAAGACAGTTCCTTACAAGGTTCCCCACTGCTATACAAAGGGTACTATAGATCTAAAGAACGTCTATAAATGTTGATGTATATATTTCATTTTTGTATTTTTATATGCTGTATGTCGGAAAAAAATCTTTGTATGCTTATGAAAGGTAATGTATTTTTTTGTTGAAAAATCGTAAAAATCAAATAACATTTTTATCGCTTAAACATAAGTATCTTACATGACAACTGGGGTTGAACCCGTAAACTGATCTAAACTATTTCATCTAAGAAATAAATATATGGAGATATATATAGTAAGAAAGCAAATAACAGTTGGCATACCAAATTCATCGTTCATGATATCTAATAAACTTTTCAGCCTTTTTTTGCAAATATATAAGTTAGATGTATTCATGTAGAGGATTCAATTTGGCTCTACATACACTTATTTGATGTACGTTTATCAGTGAAATAGATCTGTCTTTATAAACACTTTTGAAAGCTCTTTTTACTGTACATGTAGTTTAGAGAAAACAACGAGAATCCTCGGTGTTTACCTGTGTCACATTTATCTCCCCTATATCCATCCTCACAGAGGGGTTCCGAATGAGCACAGTGTCCCGTTACATGATGACAGTCTTTTAGAAAACATTTTCCGCACAAATTTGTACATTTTTGGCCATAGCTTCCTTCATCACAGTCTAGATTTAAAATAAAGATGGGATAAAGCAGGCTAGTTTTTACTAAAATTTCAAGTTATTCAAGTATTAAGGATGAACGTTAGTTGATCCATTCTGTATTGCATAAACCGCGACATAATGTTAGCATTATAAAATCCTTTAGGGACAAATATGTACAGATTATCTGATGGTTAATTTTATTAATTTAGTTATACATGTATTCATTTTTTTCATTTTTAAATGATCTGGAAGGAGAATACATACACATGTTACAATGTGATCCACCATAACCAGGTATACAACCATTCAAGCACGATCCGTCACGTGGGTCACATGACTGCGAGTCACCCGAGCACCATTCGTTACATTTCCAAGCGCAGTTCTGTCCAAAAGTCCCGTTAGAACAAGCTTTCAAAAAAAAAAAAAAAAAAAAAAAAAAAAAAACAGACAACTTACTGAATATTTGAAATGTTGACCTTGCTGCATGGCTTATTTTCAAATTTGTGCATTCTAATTGTTTTAATTCAATACATTGTATTACAATGTATTATATAATATGAAATTCTAAACTTATTATATAATGGAAAAAAAATGCAGGATCATTTTTTAAAAAAAAAATAATAGTCGGTCTAGGACTTCTAAAGACCTGTAGTTCATGACGAATAAGGAAAAGATCGATGAAAAATTGTATCAATATTACCTATCTTCCTTATTTCTGTCAACAGTTGGTCATTGCAATGCTTTACAAACCTGTCTCACAGTATTTTCCTATCCAGCCATCTTGACAACCAATTAGACATTCCCCAGTCACGTGATGACAAGTAGAGATGGATGTTGATTCTGCGCAGTTTTCATTACATGTTTGATTGCAGTCTTCTCCATAATAACCAGCATTACATGCTAAAAAATAAGGAATAATCAATGAATAAAATATCGAAATAGCAAAAGCCAAGCTTGCATATCTGCTCCTTTAAATATTTTTTTCAGCAACTATGACAATTTTCTTACAGAAGAAAGAGAAAAAAATAATTTAAGCAAATGCCCTGTTCCGGAGATGAAGAGCAAAAAAAGTCACCTGAAGACGAATCTTGGAAAAAGAATCATGAAAATGAATATATTTCATTAATAGTTAAACTATATATGTGCAAGTTTTACGTTACTTTCGTTGCAGATTTCCCCCTGGTATCCTTCCTGACATCCATTCGAACACGTCCCATTGAACTGGTCACAGTCAGTGTTCTGACGACAAAGTCCGCAGGTCTTATTGCAGGTCAATCCCTGATACCCAGGTTCACAACCAGAGTCACATGACCCGCTGAACTGATCACATGCTGTATCATTATGACAGTGACCACATATCTCACTGCAATTGCTACCAAATGTTTTGTTTTCGCAAGCTAAAAAAAGTAAAGTGTGAAGCTTTTACTATATAAACAGTCGTATTATGCAGAATTATTTTGAGGAGTTTAATTGCCAACATTTGAGGAGTACTTCCATTTCGGTTTGAATTTAGAACAGCAAACTTAATAGCGAGCGCAGCGAGTTCGCGACGCTCGTAACTGCGAGCTCTAACGACAACGCCTGGGCGAAGAGAAAAGTCGGACTACTGCATATTCATTCCATAAAATTTTTGCCGCAGTAATTTTGACCCACAATGCATCGCTTCGTACACAAACGCTAAAGCCACGTTCTCGCGAGAATAACGACAAAAGTTAAAAGAAAAATAAACTTGCCTTGATTTAATGAATTTATCTGTTTATTGCAGAAAAATAATCATAAACTGATTGAAATCAGCACTGTTCAGACTTCTGTTTGGTAAAGCAACATGCAAACGACGTCATATGACGTCAGAGTCTTACACGCACCGAATGTCACGTGTGGTTTGACGTGTTCGATCTAAATGAAAACTGGATAAGTATCTGCACTCGCCCTAACGACTAATATCGTTAACATATTAAACGGAAATATAGATTATTATAATTATGTTTCCTGTCAGTTTGTCTCTATATAGCCCATACCCTACTATTCTCGCATAGTGTACTACGGATTTATAGCGCATAAGCATACTATGCCGAAATAGTGCACGGCTTCCATTTCTGAGGAAAATCCGACAACGCCCATGCCTGGGAGCGAACTCACGACCCCGAGATTGTGAGTCCGACGTGCTACCGATTACGCCACAGACGCCGTTATCTACAGTAATGCACTGTAATATATATAAACTTAGTTTCAAACATTTTTTAATTAAGATTAAAAATAAACAAAATAATTCTACTAAAATACTTTCTTGCAACCCCCCTTCGTTCACTCAAACACCTTTCTCTAAAACTATCTGTAGATTATACCTAAAGCATGGAACGTTCAAAATTAAAGAAAAAGATTATGACGTACATGTTGCACAAGGTGACGTCATAATAGAGTAGACGAATGTAACAGGTGATGAAATATTGGAAATGGAGAAAATGTTGCAATTTTATACAGTAACAACAGTCTGCAATAATAATAACAATAGTGTTGTGTTTTGCATGCACTATGCGTAAATAGTAGTCAGGGTTTGACACATAGTGCTCGCCTCCGGCTCGTGCACCATGTATCCAACCCTGACTACTATTTACGCATAGTGCACGCAAAATACAACACTATAAATAGAAATTATGACCCCGTGAAAAACACGTCTACATTATTGCTAATAGTATAGTTCTAATCTAGCATGATAACCTTAATCGAAAACTTTAGAAAATGTTTATACTTAATGCATTTGAAGAATATTTTATTTTATTTCAAGTCGTTTTGAACAGTATTAATTTTATGGAATATAACGTAGGTATGGTGCCATGTTTTAAAGTGCTCTTGTCCAAAGTCAAATTTCTTTTGATGACGAACCTTGCATTAAGTTTGTGAAAAATACAAGTACAAACTTTCGTTGCAGTTCATTCCTTGATATCCAGCATCACAGCCCTCTGCGCATGCTCCGCTAACAGAGTTACATCCTGATCCGTTCAAACAGTGCCCACATGTGTGCCAACAGTTTTCACCATACGTCATGGCCATACAATCTGAAATCAGAGTCTCAATCGAATGTCAATTCAAAAAGATACCCGGTAAATTCATGTATTAATACAAAACGCATATACTCGAAATCAAAATGTTGAAAAAGTGAAGGCACAGAACTTCATTCGGTAATAACCAATATTTGCCCCAAAATCAAACTTTGGCAGAGTAATATTTAATTATGTTCTAAAGCAGGGGGATACATGCTGACTTCAAAGCACTGAATATTTTCATTAGCATTGACGTCATATGTTTAAAATGACATCAGAAAATAACGCAAATTTAAAATTTCCATGATTTCTACAGAAAAATGTCAATAATGCGTCTATATTTTTTGATTAAAAATCACCAAGCGCAGGTCTGATCAGGCTCAATATTTTGACATAATGTGTAGAATGATAATTTCAATTAAATATACAAATATTGTTCCTGCGCAGACCTGCGCTCTATAAATTCTTTAGCTAAAATTGTTTGAATTTTGTCCATTTTGTCCTTTTTCTAAAAAATAATGCAAAATCCGACTAGTTTGTTACGTCATTAAAACAAAAATTGTCAATAACCTACTTTGAGACTCTAATATGTTTTGTTAATTTATATTTTTCATACAATTTATACAATTCAACACATTTTAAGAATTTTTCAGAATTTGTCTCTTGTGGGGGCAAAGACATGCAATATACCGAATATAGTTCGTAAGATAGAGAACCTGTTTTTTTTTTTTAAATAATCCTGCAAATTACATAAATTCTGTTTTTAATGAACGTTTTGGAGCTATATATCCTCACAAATAATGATTGACGAGAGAAATAAATTGGGTTGTTATGATTAATCTTAAATGTTTTCCTAAGTTTCAACTTTATGGCTTTAATGGATTTATTTTAAAAAAATTTAAGCATTTTTTTCTTGAAATCAATTTTTAAAAAAGTGAAATTTAGTCCTCAGGCTGAAGCTCCTGACAATTTTTCTTCATTTTAATCACATCTTAGGGTTTTTCTCTTTGGTCTCTTAAATCTTACGCTCCATAGAATTGTTAAGGCTAAGAATGTTGACTATAGTTACAAAGTATTATTAACATTAAGTTCCTTTAAACAAACAGGAGTTGATAGATGGCGCAAATTATTCATAGGAGATAGGAAATGTGTGTGTTGTTGTTAAATAATCACAGATGGAGATTTTGTTGAGATCGATCAAGAATATGTTAACACTTTATCACTTTAAAGTAAATTGTTTGAAAATGAGATGTAAATATTTAATGTTTCTTTTATGCAATTGGTACATGTAAGTGTTAAAAACGGAAAAGTTATAACATACAGTGTATATATATATTTTTTTATTTGTAGCTGTCGTAAAGTGTTCAAAGCTGAAAAAAGGACATAGAATATTTTTAACAAAGTTACACATACCTTCCTTGCAATAAACCCCTCTTTTTCCTGACACACAACTATAACAATGACCTATTGAACTATTACACAGTCGGGTACCATCTGAGGTCCATTTACAAGTTTCACTGCAGGTTTCTCTACAGTTATATCCAAATGATGTTCCATTACACCCTGAAAAGTAAACTGGTAAAATTTACTATTTCAAGAAAGATTATTTAGTGTTATAACTTTAGGCATTATTATACTTTCATGTTAAATACTAAAATCTGATTGGTTTAGACGCAGTTAACAATCCGTTCTATTACCCTCAGCCTTAGCAACAAACTTGACAACGGGTAACACAACGATAATGCCACATGCGTGGAAATTATGCGCGTACGGTTCGCCGTAGAATTCTCAACATGTCTGAAGAAGTCAGTTGTGCGTTTGAAGAGAAGCGATTTTTATGACATTTTTAAAGCTTGCGCCCAAATATGACTGAATAATATCAACAGACGATAGAAAGCCTGAAAGGTTCAACCAGAAATAAAAATGTTCGCGGATGTAGAGGAGTCTGAAATAACAAAATTATTAGATGACAAAGATTTAAGTACTAAGCGCACCATAAAATGATCCGTTAATCTTTTCCGCACCTTCCTGATGGAAAAAAGAGGAAGCGGGGAATTCGAAGGTCTCTCTAAGGAAGAACTCAATGAAAACCTAAGACTTTTTCATGTTTCCATTAGGACAAAAGCAGGAACTAGTCTAAAAGTTAGTTTTTTGAACAACATAAAATATGGCCTGTTTAAGTATTTGAAGGACACTTGCAAAATTGACGTGGACGGTCCAGAATTTAACGAGTCAAACCAAGTTTACAAGGCAGCCCTCACAGACCTGAAAAAGAAGGGATTTGGATCCGTGGATCATAAACCACCAATTTCCACAGAGGACTTAAAAAACTGTATGATAGTGAGAGTATTGTAATCAATCATGAATGTTAATACACCATGTGGATTACAAAACAAAGTATGGTTTAATTTTATGTTCTACTTGTGCAGACGAGGTCGGGAGAACTTACGAAAAATGACCAAAAAAAACTTTGGAATTGATACTGATGCAACTGGGAGAGAATTTGTGTACCAGGCAATTGATGAAGAGGACAAAAATCATGGGTAAATATATTTTATCACTTTTTGTAAAGGAAGGGGTAATGGTTTATTGTTATGGAATATTGAAACATTATGTATGTTGATTTTCATTATTGTTTCAAAAATATATTCTTTAGATCCAATGCAACACCCGATGATACAATTGGAGAAGCAAGAATGTATGCACAACGCCAATCAGGAGATATGTGCCCAGTGAGTACATTTAAAAAGTATTTGTCAAAGCTACACAAGAAATTAGAAGCATTGTGGCAGCGTCCATTAGAGGCTTTTTCAGAAGAAAACGAAATATGGTACTGCAGATCTCCAGTAGGAAAGAACACTCTGGCTTGCCTTATGTCTGAAATTTCAAAGAAAGCTTACTTGTCCCGCCTATACACAAACCATTCTATACGCGCAACAGTTATAACGGCGATGAATGACGCCGGCATAGAGGCCAGACATATTATGAGTGCTTCGGGGCACAAAAACGAATCATCAATTCGAAGCTATGCATGTCGTCTGAATGAGAACAAGATAAGAGAAATGTCCGATTGCCTTAGCTCAGCTTTGGGAACTGTTACATGTAATAAGAACCTTGCTACTGAATCCCGTAGGGATCAAGAAAATTCGCTGGCTAATCTAACAGAAACGGATCTTGATGAAATTTTTAATAACTCCACATTTGAAGAGATCTCATCCAGCAATTACGTTACTTGTGAGAAACAAGAAATTAGCGTTTTGAAAGCTCAAAGTTCTAACATTATCCCACAACTACCAGGGATTCAAATTTGTCCACATCTGAATAACTGTACTGTAAATTTCAATTTCTACAATCAAAAATGAAGAATTACTGAAGTCAAGTTGTTTTCAATATTTTATTCATTGTTGAACATTTTAATTCAATGTTGAACTACTTCAATTTATTGTTTACATAATTTTCAAAACATGAATTTGTTGTTGAAGTTTATATTTTGATCAATTATTAAAGAAATTTAAAAGTAGTTAAGTTTTCTTTAAAATTAAGACGTTCAGTATAATAAAATAAATGGTGCCTGTTTTGGAGGGTAACAGTTGAAATTGGCATCCCTCGGAAAACCATTATCAACCTCCGCTGACGTGTCGGTTGACAATGGTTTTCCTTGGGGTGTCAATTTCAATTGTTACCCTCCAAAACAGGCACCATTTATATAATGTTACTAATGATTTTTGAAAGTAGAAAAAAATTTAATAAAAAAAAAATAAATGAAATGAGTCATCCATAAATAGATTTAAAAAATACTGAAGTCTGTTTTTTATTAATTTGCCTTCATCACATAATCATGGGAAGTATATTGGTAAAATTTACTAGATAAGATAAGATAAGATAATATTTATTTAAAGTCGGGTACGTCAACAAAGAACATTAGCTCTGAAGAGCTATTTTCCGACTTCTATTTCCAGAAAGATTATTTAGTGTTGTAACTTTAGGCAATGTTACTAATGATTTTTGAAAGTAGAAAAAATTTTAATAAAAGAAAAATTAAGTAAAATCAATCTTCCATGAATAGAATAAAAAAATACTTAAGTCTTTTTTTTTTTTAAAATTTACCCTCATCACATAATCTTCCAAAGAATCCCCTCTGACATCCACTGACACAGGTTCCAGTGATGTCATCACAACTGTCTTTATTTGGTTCTTCCTTACATTGTCCACACGTCTCGTTACAAAAGAAACCAAATTTGTCTGGGCTGCATGCTAAAGGATGATTATCACAAAAGCAAAATATATCCTCGACAAAATAATTAATTATAAATACTTTGAAAGCTTCTCATTTTAAAAATTGGGCTTCTCTCTCTCTCTCTCTCTGTGTGTGTGTCTTTCTCTCACTCTCTTTCTCGCTCACTCGAGCACACATTAAAGATCACTCTCTCGCAAACACTCTCCACTTTGCATCGACTTGATAAACATACATAATAGATGGATAAAGTTTACTTGTAAACCTTCTTTCTCTATAACATTTTATATTGAAATATTTTTTTTAAATTTTAAACCTTATTTACTCATCTGTAGATCTTCCTTGTTTATAACTTTCTTTACTGATTTTTTTAATAAGTCCTTTATTCGACATCTACTTATATTTTTGAAAAGAGTATTGGAAGAATATAATCTTACCTTGACATTGACCTGTACTAATGTTACATCCCCCAACACACGATTCAGAACAATTCTTTTCACACTGGTACCCGTATGTTTTGTTCATACATTCTGCGGAATGCAACTCAACAGAATCATAAACGATATATTTATCTGCAACTATACTACATAATAGAATTTAACTAGCCTTAACCAAAATCTTTATTACAAAGCACGATTTATTACAAAGCACGATTTTTGATCTCTTATGTTATGTTCTAAACAAAAATTTAAGTGGATATCCACCCAAAATGTGAATTGTGCTATTTGCAGTGTCTATCATTTTGCTATAACGGTTGTAACTGAGTTTAACAATTTTAATTAACAATTGTTGATTATTTCTTCGGAAATCCAAATAATCTTCGTCATATCTGAAAATTCGGTATATCCGTTTTTCTTCTAAACAAGATTTACTGTTTTATTAAGACCTCATTCTTATATTTATATCATTGTTTTTAAAATGTTATATTTGAGATTCGGAATACACTTTCATATTTGGCATATCTACGTCTATATACCTAAGCATATTCCATCTGTACTACAATCTGCACAAAACGTTCCAGGACACGGTATGCAATCTCCTCCCTTTATAAATTGCCCCTGATTACAACCTTTAATGTAATTCAAAAATGGAATATTTGAAAAGAACGTTATTCTTAACTATAAAACTCAAACTAGTTCTAATAAAGTTAATGAAACTAGCAATGTGGAAACGTTATTGAAACATTTTTGATTTTAAACCTAAACTATTCATATTTTTTTGCTTCTAACTCTCAAAAAATTACTAAGAATCTGGAAATATCTGAGTGTTAAAAAAAAGACATGACTCTTAAATAAGTCCTTTATTTGTCCCTTACATTAAACATCTAATGACATTTTTAAAAGAGTACAAAAAGAATGTAATCTTACTGTAACAATGTCCTGTACTGATGTTACATCCCCCAACACACGATTCAGAACAATTCTTTTCACACTGGTACCCGTATGTTTTGTTCGTACATTCTATGGAAATACAACAGAACAGAATCACAACGATGTCTTTATCTGCAACCATACTATGGAATAGAATTTAACGAGCCTTTTTAATATCTTTATTACAAAGCTGTATTTCTCATCTCCGTTTTTATATTATAAAAGATAGATATGTGCATGTCCATGCAAAAATGGAAAATGTCCTAATGCCAGTGTCTATCATTGTGCAAAATCCGTTATAACTGAGTTTAACAACTTTAATTAACAGATAAATGTTGATAATTTATTCGGAAATCCTAACAATCTTCGTCATATCTGAAAATTCGGTATATCTATGTTCGTCCTAAACAAAATGTACTGTACTAAGTCCCTTTCTTATATATTTATATCATTGTTTTTAAAATGTTAGATTTGAGATTCGGAATACGCTTTCATATTTGGTATATCTGCGTACATACCTAAGCATATTCCATCTGTACTACAGTCGGCACAAAACGTTCCAGGACATGGTATGCACTCTTTTCCTTTACTGAATTGCCTCGGATTGCAACCTGTAATATAATTCAAAAACGGAATATTTTAAAAGAACGTTATTTTGAACAATGAAAAACCAGTTTATTTTTACGTATTTGATGAAATTAACAATGTGGAAACGTTGTTGAAACATTTTATATTAAACCTTCCTTTATTCGTATTTTACTTTCTTCTCACTTTCAAAAAATAATAAAAACCTGGACATAATATGTGATCACATTCACAGTTCCAGTGTCTGTGTCCGAGATAAAACTATAAATAGTTAATGTACTTCATTTCTACACTGGTTCGACGATAGGCGCGGTTGAAAAAATCACGTGCGGGGCGGGTCAAATAGAGAGAGACGCCGGGCTGGTAGCACGTGGATTGGCGGATTCAAGAGCATGGAAATATAAGGAATAACTGACAGATTTTTTGATTTCATGACGATGATCAATCGATTGGCTTGTGTGATAATTAAATACATAAACTCCTTCAGCGTTTATCAGGCGCGGTTGAAAAAATCACGTGCGGGGCGGGTCAAATGGATAGAGACGCCGGGCATGGAAAGAAATATAAACTCAGAAAATCTTTCAACTTTTGTGACAGAACGCTACAGAGGGGGTCAGGTGACCGCCAATATCACGTGATTCGCGCATGCGCAGAACGATGGTTGATGTGCATTAAAATCAGATATTGTTTCTTTTATGGAAATTATTCAATTAGTTCGCGAACTCTTTAATCACCCCTCGTAAACGCCTTTGGCGTTTATCACGCGCGTTTGAAAAAAAAATCACGTGCGGGGCGTGTCATATAGAGACAAACGCAGGGCTTGTAGCACATGGATTGGCGGAATCAAGAGCATGGAAAGATAAGAAATAACTGACCGATTTTTTGTTTTCATGACGATGATCAATCGATTGGCTTGTGTGATAATTAAATGCATAAACGCCTTCGGCGTTTATTACGCGTTTATGCAAATTATCACGCAAGCCACTCGATTGATCACATCATGAAATAAAACAAATGAATGTTATTCCTTGAAAAAATAATGAGGCATGATACTTAGATAAGTCCTTGATTTGTTCCTCGCATTCAACTAATTACATTTTTGAAAGAAGGACCAAATGAATGTAAACTCACCGTAACAATGACCTGTACTGATGTTACATCCTCCAACACACGTTTCAGAACAAATCTCCTCACACTGGTACCCGTATGTTTTGCTCGTACATTCTAGGGAAATGATTTTAATTATTTTCGAATTATATTAAATGCGTGAGAAGAAAGTTGTCAAGAAATTTTTGCTCTTAGTGAAAAGGAAAATTTTCTGAATTTTTTAATAATAATTGTGAATTTTGAGATACGGAGGTAAAAATAGTTGTTTGAGATGTTTCTTGGGAGGATTTAGAGGGATTTAGAATGTCTGAATCTGAACAAAGAACACAGATACGAACACCCTCGAACAAGATGTACAAGATAACAGCATCGAGCGATGAGTCTAATTCAACAGAAAGATTTCATCATGAACGCCCCCATACCTACATCAACATGCACCAAAGAAGAAAGAAAGGTTTTTTGTCAACCTTCTTTGTTATAACATTCTTTCTTGGTTTTGTTATTTAAACCTTATTTATTCATTTTTTTGTTTCTCATTTTGGTAAATTACTAAGAACCTGGACATATTTGAGAGTTAAAACATATTGAGACATGACACTTAGATAAGTCATTGATTTTTACCTAACATTCAGCATCTTATCACATTTTTTACAAGAGTACAAAAAGACTGTAATCTTACCATAACATTGACCTGTACTGATGTTACATCCTCCAACACACGTTCCAGAACAATGCTTCTCACACTGGTACCCGTACGTTTTGTTTGTACATTCTAAGGAAATGCAACACAACCGAATCACAAACGATGTATTTATCTGCAACTATTACGTTTTAAAATACCATAACACGTAAAGGGGGTCAAAAGGTTAAAGCATACGTTTATTTTGACGTAACAATCGTTTAACGCCAAGGAAGTGCAACGTCATATGCTTAAATCAAAATTCACGCTGAAATTGACCAGAGGCTGTTACTTTAGCTCTTCAATTTAGGGTAGATAACACTGTTGATAATGCACGAGTTTTGAATTTTACATGTAGCCTTGTAAATGCAACGGTGTGTACAAACAAATTTTTATAACGCGCTGAAACACTGTACTCATTTTGTTTGCAGACATCGTTGCAGTTGTGAAACAATATCTGACTTTTTCGTTCAAAAAATACTAATACATTGCTTAAGTACATACCTAAACATACCCCATCTGTACCACACATTTCACAGAACGTTCCAGGACAAGCTTTGCATTCTCCTCCCTTAATGAATTGTCCCGATTTGCAACCTGTAATATAATTAAACAACGGAATTTTAGAATAGAGTGCTATTTTTTAAAAATAAAAATATCCACTTAGTTACATAGGCTAGTTTATGATAAAAAATGGAAACACAAATAAACATATACCATATACATGTAGAATGGAAAAAGAAAAGCAGGGTAACGTAATATCCAAAAGTTTTTTTTATTGATTGCATGACCGAAAATTACAAAAACTGGTCAGATAAATATCTTGCTTGCTGTACATTTAAATCAGTGTTCAGAATGACTAAAATCTGAAGTGTCATGCGATCTTGTAATCGTTGAAAAAAGTATCATTGGGTCACGCTTTTACATTGTCCAAATATGGACAAAGGCAACAGAGGGTTGCTGTGCATTTTCCTGTAATTAAACTGCTATTAATACAGAAGGCTATCAAAATCATTACATTCACCCTCAAACTGAAAAAAATGTGCGATTTGGTTTTTGAGCGTGTAATCTTTACTGTGTTAGTCACTGGGTTTGTTTGCCCGATTTTATCGGCATTAACACCCCCCCCCCCTTCCCCGGACCAGTGTAGCCAGAGTTTGTCAAATTTTTTTTGCCAACAATAAATTTACACACTCAACTAGTCTCTGTAAAGTCAATCTTTCCTCATTTAACATCTGTGGGACTGCATGAATGATAAGGTTCGAATTACTCAAGTTTGTCTCCTCAAGTAAGGGGTTTCTTGTTGAAAGGACTGAATAGTAACCTCATTTGAGGGATAAACACATGGATGAACCATATTCAAAGGAGAATCAAGGTTATGTGTGAGGGAGACAGTGAAGATAAAAATAAAATTTGATAGTCATTTTAATCAGTGTATCATCAAATGAACAGTTTCAATCTCTCGTTTAAATCCGTGTTCGGAATGACTAAAACCTGAAAAGTCTTACGATCTTGTAATAGTTGACAAAAGTTACATGGGGTCACGCTTTTACATTGCCAAAGTATGGACAAAGGCAACAGCGGGAAAGTGAAAGGAAAAGTTACGTGAGAATTTAGTTTTATTTTCATTACGTAAAAAATGATTTTAAACATTAGACAGGAATGCTGGAAAATACTTAAGGGAAAATAAAGTTAGTTCTCCTCAAAAGTTCACTCAGCATTTCTATTTGCTTATTTAAACCTGTGTAGAGAATTGAGTTTCAAAGCTTAAGTTTTTCAAAGAAGATAAATAATCAAAATGAAGAAAAAACTAAAATAAAACTTACCAAAAATTTCTATTTCACAAATTTCAAGAATGGGATTCTCATTTGGATCTGACGTGTTGTTCTGGTAAACTAAAACATAACGTGCTGTGCCTTTACAAACTTGTGATACTACTCCATTCGGTTTATCGCTAACTGGCTTATCCTTATAACATAGATTCCATTGTTGCAGATCTAACTCATTGAACAATTTTTCGGAGTAATAAAGTGAATATCCGTCAAGTCTTTGTTCATCTATTTGTAAAAGGACGAAAACAAAATAAGTAAAGCCCAGAGATTAAGATAGAACATACATCATGTTTCATAATATACAATCATGTTATTGTCGTTTTTGAGGAAACAGGTGTATTTAAATGCTTTTCAAGAAAAGGAATAAAGAAAAAAGGAACAGTACTTCAAAGTATGAGGAATTTTGATACTCACATTGTTCTCTATAGTAAATCGTGACGTTATAGATGTTAGCAATATATCCAATATCAACATATACATAAGTTGGGTTTTTATTTTCTGGATTTGTATGTGTACAGTGCTTTATGTTCTGACTTCTGTTGCCGTCCACTGCTCTGTATTCCTTCCCTTCATATCCAGGATAAGTAGACAACATGTGAAATGTTTTATTTAGAGCAATATTATCTAAAAAAAATACCAAAAAATAAATAAGATAAATGGAGGGAAGACGAAAAAGGAACAGTTTTGTAATTTTATAATTATAACTTACCTAAGCCTCGACATCCATTAGATAGCAATGGAAAAATAACACAAAATAAATCAATGAAATAACGCATATTTCATTTTGTTTTCCTTACACCTTATCTGTCTAAACGTTTTCACATTTCATACTTGTACATTTTTTATCAAAATTTAGAAGAAGGAAGTGAAATGTTTCCAACGTTAGCTACAACGCCAGGATCTACAAAGCAATTAAAGTGTTCAGTACTTCAGAAATTTAAGTTTTGTAGATTAAGTCATTTAAAACCACTTCAATCAAAAACATAGCAAAAACTGACGCGATGAAAGATTTATGTACTTAGAATTTAGAATTTTTTGAAATTATTTTTGCAGATTAATCATATGTAATAAGACAAAAATATATGTTAAAATTATATAAGGTAAAAAAGTATGCAAAAAATGCCGTACATTGTAATGTAAATATTATGTAAATATTTTAGGGGGAAAATTTTTTTAAGTATGAAATTATCTGACGCATTTATTAAAAACGATGCTCTATACTTATACTGCTCTTGAATGAATAGTGTATTATCAAGACGTCTATCAAAGACTTTTGGAGTGATGTCTTCTAAACAGTTTCCGAGGAAGGTTGGAAGGTGTTGGATTTTTATGTTTCTTTTGAATTTAGTTTTTTTTTTTTGATAAAACTACATTTTTTATATGTGCTATTTACTTTTTAGATTTTGTCACTAAATATGATACATATACGAATCTTACACCAAACGTCACTTCTCCATTTTCTTAAGCAGTAGAGTTAATCAATATCCATGCACTTTTCTTTACTATATTTGAGTTTTATTTTAAAATTATAATGCAGCAGTATTCGCTTTATCCTTTACTACATTCAGGAAGGAATATGTTTTTTAACCAGTAACATTTCTTCAATAGTTTTCTTTATCATCTTTGTGTTTTCAACTTTGTCGGCACATGGTGTGATATTCTGCCTTAAGCAAACAAGGCTCTTGAAAACAGCAAATCGTTAATAACTTACAAAGAGTGTCTCATTATGTATAAAGTTTTCAAAGGAAGTATTTTTTTGTTAGAAGTAGCATTTAACTGATTCACATATACAATATAGCAATGAGGAAGCATTACTTTACTCTAGATGTTGTCACTATTTATTTGGCTACTAAGTAGAATTATGAATCGGACTGTAAAAGAATTTATATTTTCTGCATTTTTAAAACTCACTGTATTTAAAGAATTTTTGTTGACTGCTCATTGGTAAATAACGACGTGTATTGTTTAATATTCTGAATAGATTGTCTATCCATACGTTAAAATATGTACAAGGAACTTTATTAAGAAGACATTTATTATTTGAGTAGTTCAAATGAAGCAAATTTTTTCTCGTACTAATATTTAAAACAGGGGAAGCAGAATATATGTTTACATGGAGATACATTGCTTAACTTTTTATAGGGCAAGAAAGTCTCGTTTGTGCGTCACTTCCGGTTTGGCTGCTGGAGATAAACAATACGAACATGTGCTTTCGGTTCAATATTGCCGGTTTCACCTCGTGAAAAATGCTTTGTTTTGTGGCGAGCTGTAACCACCAAAGCTTGCGGGAAACTTGCAGCTTCTTCAGGTTCCCAAAGAAATCAATAAAGTTATGGGAAAAACTTTGCAGATATGATGTTTTATTTAAAAACACTTCTCAAAATATAACAGAGGAAAGTCGGGTTATACACTGTCCTTTCAATCGTACGCCTATAACATGTTACCTAATGCCTGAAATTGAATTCAGCTTAGGAATACAGAGTTATCAGTGTTGTATTTCACTTTTTAATATTTTCTGATTCATTGTAACAGTGGTCTTTTATAGTCAACTTAAAGTTATCCCGAATTATCACCCACGAGAGCACGGGTGGAGAGGGGAGGTGGATCTACAAGAGCTATGAAATTAAAAATAATAGTACTCGGACATCAAATCCTTATCTAGATTATATTTAAAGGTATAATTAGAATATAATATATTTAATTCAGGAGACAAGATAGGACAGTAACTGCAGCTGACAGAATATGCAGCTGTCATTTCGAAGATGGAAAAAAAGAAAATGGACCAACTATCTTCCCTTGGAATCAAGGACAGTATTTTGACTTTGGAGACCCTAATGCTATTTCAAGGTATGTTTTGAATATTTCTGTGTCATAATTTTGAGACATCATTTTACCATACAATTTATTCAATAACGAAATATTTTCTATCAACAGCTAATATAAATTTATGAAGTTAAAAAAAACTGACAGAATATATGTAAAAATTTGAAGTAGTTAGTTATAACTAATTATGTTACACATAAAGACAATGCAAACAGAGCCCATCTGTAAACCAGGGAGAAGAAAATGCGGTTATGGTGGAAGAGACAGAGGCTGCACAACCAATTCAATCATTTAGTGAGGGTTTTGACCATGACCAGCATCTACTGCGACACGGGACCGTTACAAGCACCTACTGCGATAAAGAGTCAAATTTATTAAAACAAATCCAAGTGAGTATAAAAATTTCAGTAGTACATGTATTTAGTATTGTAGTACTTAAACTCTGTTTTGTGTACAATGTTGTAAAAAAAAACCAGTTACACACTTATATGGTTTTTGAAGGAAATGGAACAACAAATTGAGAAGTTGACGTCAGAAATAGCCATTCTTAAGACTAGGAAACAACCTTTCACCATAAGCCAGATCATCAATGATGAAAAGAAGGTATCCATTTTTTTACTGACTGATACATTATTTGTTCCAATGTAGCTCCCTCTGTGAAGTGGTTAGAGCGTTGTGAAATAAGGAGTTGATCCTTACCTCCCGGGTTCAAATCCCTTTGCGGGATGGAGACCAGTCTTTCAGATGAGACTGTAAAAACAGAGGTCCCAGGAAGTGCTGGCATGAAAAACATCCCTCGCTGCTCAAAGGCCATAAGTGCCGAGTATAGTCAGAATTTGTAGCCCTGCACTGGCAAGTGTAGGCATCTCCATATAAGTGAAAAATTCAGGAGACCGATGTTCAACAACAATAAGTCCTTGTTCAAATCGCATATACTGTATAAACACACCTTTAAGAAGATTGATTTTTGGGAGTTAAACTTTGGTCCAAAACTCTTCATCCAACTTATACCATGTTATACATGAGTTATAAAAAAAATGATTTTTGCAGGTCAATCCCTCTAAATAATTTAACCTTAAAAAATACAACCGTTTTCTATGCAATTATATACAGTATGAGAAATTATTTTACCTTTATAACAAACCAGAACAACTACATTCCATAAATTCATATTTTATTAGATGCTGATGTACACCTCCTTGAAAGCAGACATGTTTAGAGTAGTGGACTCAACTATTCAGAGATTTCCATTAACATATGTCAACAACTGGACACCAGCAGTGATTTCAAGAACTGACCAGTTATTAATGACACTGATGAAATTGAAGCTAAACTCTCCCAATTTAGATTTAGCTGAGAGGTTCAACACAAGTAAGACAACAGTGCAAAATATTGTGGTTACACATATTTTTGCTTTGCATGAAGTGTTCTTTGAGGGCATGATTGAAAATAACATTCCCTCCCTCTTAAAGTGCAAGTCCGACAAGTTTTGGTGATTTTAATTGTTGCCGTCTTGTGATCGATGCGACAGAGGTGACCCAAGACGTTCCAGGGCAGGATATGTTAGCACAGTCTCAAACTTATAGCTCATATAAAAACAGGCACACCGTAAAATCTGTTACAGGCGTTGCCCCTAACGGAGCTGTGGTATATGTAAGCAAACTTTACCCAGGAAGTACATCTGATGTGGCCATTGTTGAACACAGTAAAATGCTCTGCCAGTTGAAACCAGGGGATCAGGGGATATGATTCTGGCTGATAAAGGTTTTACTATTCACTTCCAGCAGGTGTGCATCTCAACATCCCTCCTTTCTTGAAAGACAAAGGACAATACACTCCTGCCGAAGTGCAACTGTGCAGAAAAATTGCCATATCTCGTATCCATGTAGAGCGGGTAAATAAAAGAATTAAGAACTTTGAGATATTATCTCACATTCCTCACAAGTTTAGACATTTAAGCACGAAAATTTTTCAAGTATGTTTTATACTAGTCAATTTTCAAGATCCAATGATTGCAGAGATTGCAGATAATTACATTCAGGCTCAAGATTTAGACACTCAGTAATATATGATATAAGAATGTAGAGGTGGAGCAAATGTATTTATTTCATGAGAGGTTCCAAGTATTTGTAATTGTGTTCAGCTTTAACATATATTTCTTTTATGATATTCATACCCTAAATCGATATTGTAAATGTAAGTGTAACAAAGTTTTGACAAACCCAACCTTGCTTCAAGTAGAGTGCTATGTATAAGTGCCAGGAAAATAAAGGTTATATTATATGTATCATAAATCTTGTAAACAACTTTGAAAAGAGCATTTTAAGGTAAATAGTGTGTTGTCATTGACCTTTACAAAGATTCTTTGAAAATACTCCATTTACCATTATTTTTTGCAAAAAAGCAATTAAAGCATATTTTAAATTCTATAATATCATGAAAGCTAGTAAATTTTACATATGTTATAGCAAATTTCTATTCTTTATCCATTTTTTTTTTTATACATTGAGTCATTAGTCCCTTTGGATAATGGAACAGTACAATTGTTATGAAATAATTCTTTGACAAAATGATGCCCAATATTTACATGGAATATGTGAAATACCAAAAAATGTAGTTCCATATTGTACATAAAATTTACATGTATTTTTTCATCTCTTCTTCTCTTGTTTACTTGCATATTACATGTTTTGAACTAGATAAAAAAAGCATATACAGTCAAAAATTTATTATACAGTTTTAAATATGATATATATATATACTGATGGAAATTAATAAGGGAACGTATATTTACAGTTACTAAATGTTTAGCATGTTTTTAAATGTTCGAAGCTCTATATAGCTGTTGTAAAATGAAAATGTTAAAGCTTACTTTCACTCAAAAAGAAACTTTGCTATTGAAAATTGATTTCCATGATTTCTATGCAAGATTATGCCCATTTAACACTACAATAGACGACAATTGTCATTATACCCGAAATTTGAGAATCATGCCAAGAACATACCTTTCTGAAAATCAAAAATGACAGGCTATCGGATGCATTAATGAAGGTCAATCAATATGCCAGACTTCTAGAAAATTTAACAAGTCAAAAAAAGTTTTTTCATGTCTGTGGAACCGGTACCGCCAGACAGGGAGCGTAAAGATTAGACCAGGGTGTGGTTCCAAACGTAAAACAACAGTGTGTAATGACCGTGAGTCGGTACTGATTTCCCTACATAACAGATTCAAACCAGCAGCAAAATTAAATTCTGAGTTCAGGGCGGTAAGATGAATAGGAATTTTTGACCGTACTGACAGAAACAAACTTAAAGTAGCGGGCCTAAATCGCGTCGTCCTGTTGTAGGAGGGAAGATGACTGCTGAACACAGGCGTCTCAGAAGAGCATGGGCTACAAAACATCAAGCAAGACAGTTCCGACTTTGGCGCTATACCATGTTCAGCGATGAATCTTGGTTCACTTTGGACTTTGCAGATGGTCGATTTAGCGTTTTGCGACGCCTCCGTGAACGTTATCATCAGTGTACCATCAAACAACATGATTCTAATGGTGGTGGATCATTATGGTTCGGGGCGGCAAAATCTACAACCACAGAACTGATCTTTTTTGACTGGATGGAAGGGTGACTGGTGTCCGTTTCCGAGATAAAGTGTTGCAGCCTGTTGTTCTTCTTTTCCGCCGTAAAGTGGGCATACATTTTGAGTTTCATCCTGACAATGCTCGACCCCACATGTCTCATGTCAGCATGGATTTTCTGACGCAGAACAACATCAGGCTGTTGCGATGGCCATCCAAAAGTCTAGCCCTTAACTCCATCGAACACCTCTGGTATATTCTTGGACGTCGGGTGAGGGATCGTGATGCCCCACCCCAGGCAGTTAATGCCATGTTCAAGGCTCTTTAGGAAGAGTGGCGCGCAATTCCTCGAGCTGAGGTACAAAATTTGATACAGGGTGTTTCACGACGGTGTGAGAAAGTCATCAAAAAGCAGGGAAGACACACCAGATACTAAAATTTTACTTGTGAAACACATATTTAGTGAAATATACTTGATCCAAATCCACTACGATAAAGCAAATTTTACCATTAAATGTATGCGTTCCCTTATTAATTTCCATCAGTATATATATATATATATTTAAAAAACATTTGAACAGAATACTTAACTTATTTCTTCTACAGTTCTGAAAGAAATCTTTCACTGTATTAATAAATTATATTGTGTATTTTGAAGTGGTAAAAAATACTAAGAACAACCTGAAATACACTAAAAGCAAAAATCAATCAATACAATATAAAACTCAAGAAATAATTATTCATGATTATGTGTAATGATGAGAAAACTTTCAGAAATAATTCAGAAAACAAAGTATAACTTCTGTTGTTGGTTTCCAGCTTTACCCTGAGTACATATGTATAACAATAAGATTCCTTATAAATAGTGCCTTATGATTACTGAAAACAAGCGGTTCAAGTCAAGTCCCAAAATATTCAATGTAGCATGTATACAAGTCTGACATTGCCATACAACTCACTGTATTATTACATAAACATATAGCATATTTGTATGTGTAGAAATTGGGATTACTGGTAATCACTAATCAAAGACTTCAATTTAAGTAACTCATAAAAAACCTTTATCAGTACAAATATACAAAATTGCCTGT